ATTTAGGGTATCTTTTCATGCCAATTCCATATAGTTTCTGTTTTAGAACCGTTCACCATGAGTCCTATTTGTTGGAACAATTGTTAGATAATTTTGACTTTTTCTTCAAGATCATTCTTATGAGTTCTCTCTCAAGGAGACTTCTTGTCTTAAATGTTTGTTAGAACTCAAGCTCTCTTCAGACCTCAAGTTGAAATACCTGATCCATTTCTAAAGATGGTGGTGGAATAATTGGCCTATTGTCCCGCTGCAGTTTCTGATTATCCTTCATATAATCTATCTTTATAAACGCAAGATCAGACAAAAATTGGAGTATTGATTGCTTATCTGGGTTGGAACCGACCGACAATTATCTGACCTTATAGTGTTAGAAAGCATATATGCGTCCTTGTCTGTGTTGAAATATTTTCCCTCCTGCAAATACTTTTCCGACAGGGTAATCATCACTAAACTCTTGCTGCATTATCCCTATTTCTATGAAATGTGTCTTGACGATATACATTCCGTAGACCAACCAACTCTCACTCTGACAACTCGGACCAGCTATTCCACATACACAAGAGTGAATCATGCCCACTCCCATGGTATTCCACTAGTACGAAGGAAGTTCCATTCGGAGAGCCTCTTCCCAAGAAATGATGTCTTGTCTCCCGGCAGGATTTTGTTTTCCCGTTCATTACAATCTTGTCCTCTTCACGCCAAGGGTTAACCGTCATCTTTAGTGCAGAGCTGCATCTCCTTCTCTTCTTACCTTGTCTTACGCTAATACAACACAACATAGTACTTATCTACCTTGAGTGACTCTGTGGCCTTGTATTGTATTTGTAGAAAAATATCCCAACCATTCATACATTCATCATCAGTATAGTGTCCTCATGAAGGATAGCAGAAATGTTGTTTCAGAGTTATCTCCCTTGCTGTTTAAGCCGTTCTGCTTTTGAACGTCTACTTTCTGAATTATTCTAAGCTAGTCACTGATTCCTTTAAAATCCGAAAAGGAAGTCAAATAATTTCAATTCATGCAGAAGAGTTTAATAAATCTAGTTTAGAAAACCTAAAATTAAGAAGAAAGCCACTAGTTTCATTTGAAGACATTAGTAAACCTTGATACCCGTTATTTTCCTGTACCCGTTTGAATTATTCACCCTGAAATGATGTGAATCGATCGTTTTAATTCAACAATAAGCAAGGTGTGTGGGGGGCAGTGTGAATAAGTGCTGTTCAATATGGCGGAACTATCTTCCCGCCTGCGATGCCACTTGCTTTATTTCTTTCATTCACTGCGTCTTTATTTTAATGAGCTGAATACCAACAAAAGCTTGCGAAGATTTGACGCCCTTAATGTTTCAAGCATGATACTTTAAATAATTGAGAGGAAAAGAAGAAAAAAAAGGCGTAGGTTTGAAGTGGAACGGGATTCAGCAACTTGTTGGATTTATGGGAGAACAAAAAAAAAATGGAAATAGAGAAAAACGGAAAGAAATAAGAGAGAAATAAATAGAGAAAGAGTAAATTAAGTGTTGCATTCTCTTGTTCAATTGGTTTCACTTGAACAGAATATTGATTATTTAACGCCTACAGAAGTCAAGTAACGTTTTTATGGTTGACTTAATTTAAATTTAATAGGCTAGAAGACTGAGAAAAGTAAATTATGTGCTATTCTTTCAAGAGTTTAAATTTAAATGTAGTTTTATAATAAGATTGGGAAATAACAGTATTTATCTCAATCCGAAGTGTCCTATACTGAGAAATGTTCATCACTTAAATAGAAGAACATAATAGTTAATAAATATCATACGTAGCACAGAGTGACATTGGTGAAATGAAGTTAGAGAAGATTATGTTCCGCCAAACATTCAATAAAACCATGAAAATCAGAAATCACAAACCTAGACATTTTCTTGCCAGCACCGATATTTTGGCATTGGGATAACACAGTCAACAAATGGAAGGAGATTTTTAATAATTATAAAACTTAGTCTTAAAGGGCGTAAGCCAAAACAAAAACAATAAATGTTGGAAGATCGTGCTACGCCAAACACCAGGTGGGAATGTCTTGAAATTTCGGAAAACTATTTCTTAACGACATTTAGTTTTGTTCGGTGATGTATATGTATCAGATCATTAATTGCATTTTTTAACATCCCAAGACTTTGCAGGTTGTAGTTGATCATAGCCCTTCCCTACTTTCTGTCATTTACTATTTGGAGTAACATTAAACACATTTTCATTTTTCTATTTCTTTGTTTTGTCATCCATTCATTCATATATGTTAAATACCGTACTTTTTTTCCCATTTGCATCTCTTGATTTCAGTATATTCTATGAATGGTAATACCTTCATTTCCTCTTTCCTCGTTATGTGTCCTAGAAACTCCAACCGTCTCATTCTGATTGTAAGTATACGTTTGCTTGTATTTCTTATTTTCCTGAAAGTTTCATAGTTGCTGTGGTGATCTCAGTATGCGAGCCACATGTTTATTGCTTCAAGTATCTCAATCTCTGAAGTGACTATCCAACATTCACCGCCATAGATGGTACATCTATATAAATACATGCGAATGTTCGTGTGTGACTGTGTCCCACCTTTTCAACTCTACTTCTAGAGGCCGTAGCCCGACATATCATACAATTTTAGAATTAGGCCGACTCTGTGGGAAAATTAAAAATTTTCCCGGCCAATCCGCACCCGCAATCATAAAATTTTGGATTCACGAGTTTATATTATAGCGATTCTTTTCGGCGATTTTTCCGTGAATTTTTGCGACGAAATTTTTCGTAGAATAACAATTTTTATAATTCTGACAAAAATTTGGGAATAATCGAAATTAACTGCGAAATCCAGCGAAAAATCACCCATGAAATAAAAATAATTGTTTGTACCTACGTAGATAAAATTGTCTTTAAATTAAGTGGAAGCAGAATAATTATCGCTGAACTTTTAAAAGGTAAGCATAAATATTAATGCAATACTTAAATGCAGCGATCAATTTTGAGTTCTTCTGTACTTTATCGTTGCCTATCATATAGGGCAACAGTATGCCCCACAAAAAGAAATCTCCGTCAAAAGAGGACCAGATTGCAATCAAATGATCCAAGGCTGCAGCGAGGAAAAAAAAAACGTCCCGTGAAAATGAAACCCAGATCAAACAGCAGACAGGAAAGCTTCCACTTCTGAGAATATGGAAAAACTTAGGGACTTGAACCAGCCGAAGGCCCAATTAAGAGCTCCCCGCAGGTACTACCTTAATTTCCGGCCGATAGGGCGGCTTTTAATCTAGTAACTAATAATTTGTTTTAATCATTTCACCCCAAGCAATTCGATCATTTCAATAAAACGTAGTGGGCTACTGTGGGTCAAAGACAATGCGAAAGGAGGAAAAAGGAATAGGAAAAAGGAAGAGGAAACAGGAAGACAGAAGTTGGCGATTGATGTTGCATTTAAAACATTAAATTTTGTAGATGGAAGAGAAGTAAAAAAATCGAGAGTTCCACAGTTGAGAAGTTCGAAAAAAGGAACTAAGAGAATGGAAGAATGTTTTATCTGCCAAGTTCAACATTAAAAAGGTAAGACAATTGCCAGTCCAGTAGATCGCTTAAATTCATACGGTCGAGGCATTATGGATGAAAAAAAAAAAAAAAACATCAGAAGAATTGTCATGCAAATATGTATAAAAAAAACAGAAGTCACGTCATATCAGTGAGAAAATCACTGTAGTAGAGATGCCAGATCAAAATCGATTACAGTACAGACCCTTTGATTTTTATCAATAATCTCTAGATATATAGTAAGAGCATCAGACCAGATACCGCAGCAGTATTCAAAGCACGGAGGATATACATGATCAATTCCAACGATAAAAAGCGTCTGTTAAGACGCCGTGAACGAATGTCCTCGCATTAGATCTAGATATCTTCAATATCTCCCGGTGGAATAAAGGATAGCGGCACGGAGGAGTAATTAATAGCGGCACGGAGGAGTAATGGAAAGTGGCACGGAGAGGTAATTGACAGTGGCACAGAAGAGTAATAGATAGCGGCACAGTGGAGTAATGATAGCGGCACGGCGGAGTAATGGATGACGGAACGGAGGAGCAATTTATCGCGGCACGGAGGAGCAATGGATCGCGGCACGGAGAGGTAATGGATAGTGGCACGGAGTATTAATTGATAGTGGCACAGAGGAGAAATGGATAGCGGCACGGAGGAGAAATAGATGTCGGCAAGGAGAAGTAATGAATAGCAGCACGGATGAGTAATTAATTGCGGCACGGAGGAGCAATGTATAGCGGCACGCAGGAGTAATGGATAGCGGCACGCAGGAGTAATGGATAGCGGCACGCAGGAGTAATGGATGGCGGCATTGAGATGTAATGGATAGCAGCACTCCAGAGTAATGATAGCGGGACGGAGGAGTAATTAATAGCGGCACGGAGAAGTAATTGATAATGACATAGAGGAGTAATGGATAGCGGCACGGAGGAGTAATTAATAGCGGCACGGAGGAGCAATGGATGGCGGCACGGAGAAGTAATGGATAGCGGTACGTATTCGATAGTGGTACAGAGAAGTAATGGATGGCAGCACGGATGAGTAATGATAGCGGCACGTAGAGGTAATGGATAGTGGCACGGAGAAGTAATTGATAATGGCATAGCGGGACGGTGTAGTAATGATAGCGGCACGGAAGAGTAATTAATAGCGGTACGGAGGAGCAATAGTTAGCGGCACGGAGGAGTAATGAATGGCGGTACGGAGGAGTAATGGATGCCGGCACGGAGAAGTAATGGATAGTGGCATGGAGAATTAATTGATAGTGGCACGGAGGAGTAATGATAGTGGCACGGAGGAGTAATGATAGAGGCACGGAGGAGTAATGATAGAGGCACGGAGGAGTAATTAATAGCGGCTTGGTGGAGTAATGATAGCGACATGGAGGAGTAATTAATAACGACACGGAGGAGTAATTAATAACGACACGGAGGAGCAATGGATAGCGGCTCAGATTGAAGAAAAATTCGAATTCCAGTCGAATCCATTGTATTCACTTACGTGCTAATACATTTGGGAATGGTATGAATCCTAGGGATGAATAGCAGAACAGATGGCAACTAGTCTACCTCAGAAAGAAATGGCAAGCTACTGCGAGAAAAATCTGCCTCAAAAAGTACATGATCACCTAAGCTTGTATCATGTATAGCATATAACGGACTGATATTACCTCCACTTTATGACAATGAGAAATATGAGTCCAGGAAGAAGTAAAATTTTACATCACCCATGATTATGACAGACAGAAAAAGGTACTCTGTTGTGATTAAATGAAAGCAATTTTGTTTAGGAGACGTTCAAATTTACAAGATATTCCTTGCCCCAGTTAATGACAGATAAGATGTCATTTTCGAGTGTAGTTGCCAGTTTTACTTTGTCGGACTTTCTAAGACAGGATTAAATCGTTTTGTCGTCTGCATATATATATTTGGGAACTGATGAGATTGGGTATGTCGTTGATCAAGATACGAAACGATGTAGGTCCAAGAGTGATTCTGTATTGATGTGGACATATTTAATGGCGTATCTGTTCAAATCATCTTCATTACTTTATTTCTTAAGAACGATTGAAAAAAAAAACGAATATTCGCTTTTTTTATTGAGGAAATAGTCTTCTTTTTTTTTCTTTTTGTGTTGGTTATTTAAAGGAAGTATTTTTATTGCCTTCGAGGCAATATTCATAATATTCGGCAGCTTTCACTCTAATTTATGCGCAACACAAGATTCATAATTTTGTTGTTGGTTAATCCACCTTCTAATTTATATACCGTTTACTTCTTCGGAATATTGTATGTATCATTATTAATGACAATATTTTCTTGTTGTTAATTTGTCAATATTTTCAGTTTCTGTTATGACGTAATTCTGTAATTCTTCCCATATATATTTATACACACACACACACACACACACACACACACATATATATATATATATATATATATATATATATATATAAAAATACCTTTCTTAAATTGGGGATGGAAGGACTAACGAGTCTTATATTCTTATAATTTCGTTTGAATGATATAGATTTCTTCATCTCATTAGGCTAAAATAGTAGTTAATGAAGTAATCAAGTATAATATTGCTTTTATTATGTGTTCATTCATGAACGAAACTGTTCGCGTTCTAAACATGAGACCGGGTTTCAATCTCACCGTGGTTGACTTGTCAGGAAGAAGATTCCTGATGCTATCGAGCAGGAGGGGTGGACCCCAACGTGCGGCACCTTTTGAAAGTGCCTGAAAACAATACCATAGGTTGACCCAAGATTTGTAATTGAAATTGGGTAGACGGAACCCTTGGGTGTCGCCGATAGCTGTACTAGCACAAAGTCACAAGTTATCGTGGCCGAGGGCTTGAACGTGCTGGCTTTGTTAAAATTGTTGATCACGGTAGATAACACGCTCTTTCCCAGAAACTGTAACTACAGGCTTGTTCAGCGTAGTTGCAGTATAAACCATAGTCGGGCTCTGTGGGTGTTGAATAAACACAAATGTGCCTGAGAAAGCGTCTGAAATAGGTACTGGCAAGCCACACTAGTAGACGGTTAACCGCGAATACGAGTGGCCAGCTATACATACATACATATATGCCCTGGGATTAAATCCATTACTGTGAGAATGACAAATAAGAGTATCAGTGCAGAAGTCGAGAGAAAAGAACCGGCTTGAGCTTGCTGGTATTGTTCAAATTGTTAATCACGCCAGATAACACGCACTTACCTAGAATCTGTAACTAAGGTGTGATCATGCTCTTGTTCAAATTTTTCGTGATGCTAGATAACAGAAATTGTAACTAAGTTCTGCTCAGCATAGTTTAAGTGTAAACTAGTTGCAGTGTGGGTTTTGAATAAACACAAATGCGCCTGAGCAAGCGTCTGCTATAGGGATTCTCTAGGCGCCCTAATAGTAGTGATTGAAGAAATCAAGTAGACGGGTATCTTCGAATACGAGTGGCCAGCTATACATTATGTGTTCATTCGAATGGCTGCTCAAGCTCAAACAAAAATTAATTTATCTTCGTAGCATCTAGAGTTTCAAGTGGAAATATTTTCTTTCTTCTTGTAATTTCAGTCGATTCGATTGGTAAACAAATTCTCCTTCTTACTTTCTTACTTGCGATGAAACTTATACATTGCTCGCCAATATTAAAACATTGCGATATTAACCTAATCGGAGAGGGAAGAATTATTGGAACATTTTAAATCATATAATAAGATTGTTTTCATTTCCCAATTTCAAAGTAAATCGTACCTCCCGGGGTGAATCACAATCTTCCTAAACAGAGATTGCAAATAATAATCGTTCGTAACATTCTTTGATCTGGTTTCAAAACGAGGCTGAAATCTCAACGCCATTTGTAACACTGAAGACACTATGCCTTGAAGGAGGTTGATTTAATAACTATGTATGTAGTCTTCTTATGAAGATGCATTTCTCTTGACATTGTTATCATATATAATCATGTAATTTATTTCCACTTTCTCTTGGGATTCCTTTATGAGGCAATAGACGTTTTGAAGAGAACGGCAAGATATAAACACCTACGGAAGCACACACACACACACACACACACACACACACACACACATATATATATATATATATATATATATATATATATATATATATATATAAACAAACCTTCTGGTGTCTTATCAAGTGACGGCGTTGAATGTATAATAATGTGTTTTAAAAGGTTCAAACCAAACACCCCTCAGTAGAAACGCTGGAATGACCAATGAAAATACAAGTATATGAGAATTCAGAAAACTTGACAACGAATATATATATATATATATATATATATATATATATATATATATATATATATATATATATATATAGATTGATAGATAGATAGATAGAAAAGGTATGCTGTATTTATGAGTAAATATGGAGCACGTGTAAATATGAACATATAGATATATAAATATATGATTTGTCATGTTTAATTATGAAACAGACTATCGCTCATGGGCTTTGACTTCAATATCCTATTTTATATTTACATACGCTCTATTCCTGATATTGAACACTTTAACATATAAACATAGCATACCTTAAAATTTTATTTTATCATAAATATATAAATATAGATAAAAACAACATAATAAGCATTAGAGAACTTTCGCTAAATTTATAACCTATCATGGACATCGATAAAATTTAATCCCGACTACTCCCTAATGAATATCCACCCAATCCACCAGTCAACTGAAATTAATCGATGCAATAGATAGTCTGGTAAAAGTAATCAAAGGAAAAGAGCATTTATTCTTAAACCAAGGTTTTAACACAAACGCCACACTCAAGGAAAAATATGGTTTATAAAACAAAAGAAAATGTCACCAAAAACACGAGGAAGTAAACAAATTTGAAAGAAAATTAACTAACGTATAAAGAAACATAAAATTTCATAAACAATTAAATGTTTTCCGAAAAAAAAGGAGATATGACTAAAATAAAAAGAAAATCGCCTAACTTATTTATAAAGTATTGCAGCGAACAAATGTAGATATATTTATTAACTAAGCCCCCAAAACACAACAATCTATTCAAGGACAACATAAATAAATATATAAAAAAAAAAAAAAAAAAATTACAAAACAAGATTGTTATATAGGAATAAAGTGTAACTGTTGTGCTTGAACGTAGATCGCAAAAGAACAAACACATGCGATCTCATTAAACTAGTTAGATCACGTGACCATAGCGGAAACTCATATATAGAGGAAGTCGCGTGACGTATGATGTGTTCGCTTTTTTCTATTCTATTTCTATTACTATTCGAACCGCTATTCTCCTCTCTTCTTTACTCATTATACGAAATACTATTACTACGAATATTTTTCAAAGACGTCTGACACCAGTATTCTTCTATGGCTCACTATACGTTGTAACTACGATTACAAAGTGTTCCACTACCTTCACATTACGAAGTAAATATCAAGTATACGTTGTCATCATAAAAGTGCAGCAAAGCGTTGTTTTGACGACACAACAAAGATATTTAGACTGAAGCTAAGAAAATATTAAATGTAGACGATCAAATATATTCAATTTCTCTACGACAAACATTAATTATACTAAAATACCAGAAATAAAACTTCAAATGAAACCTAACATGCACACTCAAAACAAGTCTAAAATGAGTAAAATCATATTAGGAGTAAACAACTATAGAATGTTTACGTAAACTAAAAAATAAACATAAATGAGAATTCATGTAACTAGATTTTTAAGGTTTTTACCCTTAAATAACCACATCCCTGCCAGATAAGGCCTTTGCTGCAGCAAAATCAAAAGTAAGTAAAGACGAATAAAAATCAGTAAGCCCTGCTGAAATTCACTATTTTTCGACGACATCGCTAAAGGAAGAAGCTGAGGTTTCTATTTACTAAGCGAAATATACATTAAAATGATATACGCCTCAAGAAAATGCATTTTTAGACGAATTATGAGCATTTTAGTTAGTTTCCCCTTTCAGACAACATTTGGTGTATTAAATAAATGCATCTCACTTTCCAGAATAGTATGAGAAAAAATTGCATTAAATGAAGAATTCTTTTAACATAATCTCAGAAGAGAATTCCAGAGAATGCAAAATGGCATAATTAAAATGTTTAATCTCTAAACTTTAGAAACAGGATGATGCCTGAGATCCTATTGGTCCGAGTTTTGTGAAGAACGAAATGAAGAAATGTCCTTTGGGATAATTTCTGAAATATTAAACGTCGCCTCCAAACTCCAGACAGATTCAATAAGGCTAGATAATTTAACCGATAATTAGAGAAAAGGTAGAGAGACAAGTCTAGATAATTATTTGCATAATGAAGATATTTCATAGCAGAACACCAGGAAGTAAATGTTGGTAGATTAACGTTTAGCCTGGTAGAAGCGGTACGTTGAATTAGAATTCCGGACTTGCGTTCACTTCTAAT